CAGTCTGATCTGAAGCACGCCAACATCAGCGGGCAGACAGCGATAGACGTGGCCCGATGTGTGCCTGATATGATTGACTTGCTTTTCACTGACATTCATAGTTAGTCAGAAGTCTGGGTGCTGGGTGCCTTCTGGTAACCATAACCTCACACTTTTCTTTTGCTTCAGACCTGGTGACTTGAATTCATTGCTGTGTAAAGAATTATTTTTTTTGTTAATAGTGGCTCAGCATTAATGTGACACAGGACACATTGTCTTGGCAGCTTATTTTCAGTGGATGGGTGGCTATATACAGTAGACACCTCTTTTGCACAGTGCAATTTAGGCACCTTATATATATATATATGTATATGTATATATATATCTGTTTTCCCTATTAATTGGGAGTGCACATTTGTAGATAGTTTTCCCTCAGTGTTTTGTAATTATTGCATTTATTTCCATTGTGTAAGAATTATAACAGTTGATACAATGTATGTTTTTTAAAATTTTACAAACTTGACATGGTGCACCCTGATTGCTTTGCATAGTTGTGTTTCTCTTAATTAGATGTACTTAGACTTTGAATTTACCCTTATTTATTGTTGAAATAGGACTGAATATTCCTGTGACTTTGTAAATAGCGACATTTATTGTGATTTGTTGAAATGTTATTTATATAAATACTTTTAAAACAAAAGTGAGATTATTCACTTTACTATTTGAAGATGAAAGCACAAAATAAAGTGTTGAACTTGAAGTTTGGAAGTCATTGTGTGGATTTTGTACAGTAAACTGTGTTTGTCAAGGCAATCAAGTAAACTGATTCCAGGGGTGTAGCTACCACTGTTGATGGGGGTGCTATAAAGAAATGTGTTACACTGAAATTAAGCGACTATTGTTTTTTTTTTTCCACATGAATTTTATTCCTGGCAGTTTGTAGAAGGCCATGGAACAGTGTTTAGACCGTCATGTAGAAGGTCACTGGTTCTGAAACCTGAGGGGCAGTACCTCTTAAGGGGTGGCAAGATAAATCTAGAGGGTTGCAAGATGAATAACAAGACAGGGGGGGATGACAAACTGTTCTGCTACATAAATGTTTAAGTTTTATCTCCTCTTTTAGAAGAATTATTTAAATGTAGTGGTGAAACTGCTCACTACTCAGTAATGACAAGGGGTAAGTATTGCTTCATTTTGACAGGTCAGCAGGCAAGAGTCTTGGAAAACACTGGTGTTGGGAGATGAAATTTACAGAATGTCTTGGACTCTGCATTTCTAAAATCCTGGATATGATTCACTCATTATTTTTGCATTTTAAAGTCATTTCAAACTCCAAGGCTCTATTAAAATATAGAAACATAAAAAAGAATACCTGTATTGAAGCAGACATGAAATGAACTAATTTGTTTAAATTTGGCTGACTAAAGATATCTTTGATAAACCATGTTAACAGCATGGCATGTTACTTTACATTCATACTAATCTGCTGTACCTTCAGACGCAAATCAGAGTGTTTTTTGTTCTGTTAACTGCTGCATACTGTATATCCTCAAGCGTCTAGCACTTCCCCAAGGTGATCCATCAAGGACATTTATAATAACTGCACACTGGAATTCACTGCACAATGAAAACCCTCTCAAAGGTCACACAGATAGCTGGATTGAAACTCTAAATGAATGAGGGCCCTGTTTTGTTGAGGCTTGTAGGTAACGGCAGCACAGTTTGCTGATGTTTGTGCTCTGGGCTCTTGTGGTACAATGGGTATTTTGTTTTTTTTTTTTCTGTGCCACAGGCCAACTTCACCAGCCGAGAAAGGAGATACAGTTCAGCTACTGTGCTGCCAGTTCTCTGCAGAGAGAGAGAGAGAGAGAGAGAGAGAGAGAGAGAGAGAGAGAAAAAAAAGCCAGCACAGATAAATGTATTTAAACTTCTCACCATTTTTTCTGAATTGACTTGACAGGGATATCATACGCACTTGCATTGAACTGGAGAGTTACTTGTCTAACATACTTTTACTTTACTTGAGCATTTCCATTTCATCATACTTTATACATCACTACATTTCAGGAGGAAATCATTGTACTTTTTACTCCACTATATTTATTTGCTAGCTATATATATAAGTGAAAGTTTACATACCAGATATATAATCAGCCTGTAAATAATGATTTGGCTCTACCCTGACCCTGACCATTCATGTTCAGTATTCATTATATAAGAGGTACAGAGCCATTTTAAAAACCTTTATTATTTTAACTTTTGATACTTGTATTTTTACTAAAAATTAAATTATGAATGCATGAGCTTTTTTTACTGTGTGGTATTGCTACTTAACTTAAGGGTCTGAATACTGCACTTCTGCTACCACTGGATTTAATAGTCTGCAGTCGTAGGTTGTTTTCACCTTCCTGTTTCAGATTTACATAGTCCCACACATGCTCTGAAGTGCACAGTCCAACCACAGTATTTGACTTCTGGGCATTGAACAGCTCAACAGCTGGAGCTGCTAGGGGTTAAATGTCTGCCTCAAGGGCACTTCAGCAGTAGCTGTTGAGGAGAACAAAAAAAATAGTCATTCACTCTCCCCACCCATATTTATTCCCCACCCAGCCAGTCTTGGGTTTTGAAACAAATCTTCCGGTCAGAGGTCAGCTTCTCTATCTTCTGTGCTACCACTCCCTCATCTTGTGTAATAAAGACACACAACAATGAATAATATTTAGGTATTTTCCCACCCTGACAACTAAATCAGCCACAAAACTGCACTAACAAGGACAGTGAAAAACACACGGCCAGACTTGCACCCAGCCACTAGGTAGAGCTGCCTGACTTCACTATGCACAGATGTGGGTGAGTTGTGAGATGTGCAAAAAAAAAAAAAAAAAAAAGGATCCCTGTATAAACACTGTTGTGGTTGGTTTGTTCCGCAGGTTGGGGGAGAGATAAGTTTGCAAGCATCAAAGGATAGTGGGAGTAGACAAGAAAAACCTGTCAGCCTACTCCTTCAAAGATATACATACATGTGTGTGAATACACAATCACAAGATTGAGGGAAAATAAGATGAGTCAAGAGTCTGATGAGAGAACTCCGGTTCCTGTTAAAAATGAAAGACTGTGACAAAGGAATGCATAGTCTGAGACGCCCGTCTGATTGATTGCGTGCCACTGGTGACATTTTAAACCGGTTCCTCTTTTTAAGGTATATTTGGGGTGTTTTTGTCTTTATTAGGTAGTAGACAGTGAAGAGTTGACAGGAAATGAGAGGAGAGAAAGATGGGGAATAACATGTAGCAGACTTGAACTGATACCCTTCCTCCACAGGGATGCCCCTTACCTCTTTTAGAGCTCCGTCAATTAGCTGGTTAATTGGGCGACAGAAAATTATTTTGGCAATTAACTGTCTAAATCATTTTTCAAAGCAACTATGCCAAAATGTGATTATTTCTAGGTTATCAAGTACGTGAATTTGCAGCTTTTCCTCATCTTACATTACAGTGAACTGATCCTCTTTGGACTTTGGATAATTGGTTGAAAAAAACAAGACATTTAAAGACATCACTTTTGGGTCTAGGAAATTGTTTTTACTGTTGGTTGTTTTCTAGACCAAACGGATAATCGATTTATCGGCATATTATTAGTTTGCTGCAACTCTACACAGTGTTCACATGTCCATATGTAGACTGAAAGCGTTTTTGTTCACTATAATCATTCCTACTGTGTGTACTAGATGTGAATATTACTGCACTGTAAAAAATAATGGACAAAACTCACGGTCCTTGTTTTGTATTAAAATGCATTATGAAGTTCAGCTGAAGCTAATAAGAGGCTTCAACAGTCCGAGTTAGGCAAATCAAGTGGGTATCCTCCAGCCTCTTTATAGTCTGAAATGACAATGTTTTTCTTTGCTGAAGCCACATTGAATGGTCAATATGGACAGGAGGAATGATTAGATTGACCAATGACTCTTTCAATGAACTGCACATATGGGCATGTGAGCATCGTAGCAAGATAAATTTGAAAAAAATCCAAACCCATCCCTGAAGCTTTCTTAGAGCTCTCATTCATGGGTGTTTAAAATATACAATATAAAAGATATAAAAGTTTAGTATGGTGGTAAAATGATATAAAACAAATTATGAGTTATGGACTTTGATACCAATTTACTGTAAGTCATATGGAAAAATTTGGGTTGAAGTCACAAGTAGCAAGTCATTGTACACTGTCGACAGATACTGTAACATGCTCTGTTAGATTGATCACACTTTGACACAGCTCATCAAGCAGCAAGGAATCATGGGCTGCAGGCACTGAATCCTAATCTTTCAGAAATTGGAACAACAGAAACTCACATGGTAGGGAGGAAGTTTCCCAATCGGATTTTCCTACTCAAATGTAAATACTGCGTTAGACAACCAGTCCTCTAGCAGCACACTCCACAAGTATGACAATGGCAGCAGTTGCATCATTTCACCCAAACAACTTAAAGCAACCCTTTACATAACATGTTGTTGGTTATTTCCAGCCAAGCCATAGTCACCCTGATGCAATCACATCTGTTTTGGTTAATGCTGGTGACACACTCGACTGCCACCTTCAGTGAGAGGAAAAGGAATATAGAAATGATTGACAAAGCATTATAACAGTAGGCATGTAATTCTGGGTAGGCACCTCTAGAAAATTCCACACTTCAATCCTCCTCTCTCTCTTTTTTTTTGTTAACAACTTCCCGCACGAAAAAAAACATCTAAATAATAAAACATGAACGAAATAAACACAAGAGTTTGATGGAGGTGTGTGGCAGCGTGGGCAGGTCAGTGTATGCTCAAATATGACTGAGGTATGTCTATAAACTGAATCCATTCTGAAGCCGTGCAAGCCAGGACATGACTGAGCTGCAGTTCAGGCAGAACTGTGGAAGTCCTGACTAAGTAATACAGATTTGTTATGCATATCTGCGTCTGAGAACGGAACACAGGGAAAAAGAAATGAGTTACTACAATGACCTCCTGTCTAGCAGCAGAAACTTTTAGGACATTTTATTTCCTTGTCTCTGTGTGTTCAAAAGGCACTCTAAACTTATTTGCACTAGTTTATGATGTGCAAAATAAACATCATATTGTTCGGTAATTTTACATCTTATTACTTAAATTGGATAACAGTGTTTTGGAAATCACATCCTGTTTTCCCCTTATTTTACTGTAGAAGTTAAGAAAAATTGTGATAAAGAGGTAGTAACAATAAAACAGGGAAGCAAAATTGAAATTCTTGGGAAGCCATTAATTCATACATAGTGTGTTAAAAGAAAAATACTCTGTATCACCCATTACCAAAGGCATCACTGTACTCAACATATTACTCATCCAAAAGGTATTTTAAAGACAGTACTTTTGTCTCCTTTCTCGCTGTAAGTGATTATTTATTGTGTCCTGCTTTTCACACTGAATATCATGTTGAATTGACCTTTGTCTGATTCATAATATCCTGCATGAATTCAGTCTTTCCTCCATTTGACAGAATGTGTGAACAGAGGAATGGACACCTATTATTCTGCTACTGAAAGGCTTTTTCTTCCTCCACTTGTTTGGTGCCTGAAAGGGCGCAACGTGAGCCGCCTCACTGTGGAAACCCTTCTTCATGCTGTATAAACCTGTCAAACAGGATATAGTACAGGGAGAAAAATCTCCTGACTGTTACTCTGAAGAACCCACAAAATATTCAGTAAACAAAACTCTGAGTGATAATAGTAGCAATTTGAAGGCCCTTGCTTTCACCCTGATGAAGTGTTGAGTGCTTGTCTTATCCACACATAACAGTATTCTGATCCTGCATCTATAAAAATCCTTGTTAAACTTTACATTAATTCAGTTTTGTAAAAATAAATGCAGCAATGTATTTACAGGACATCTATGAACTTGGTAAAAAAATTTTTTTAAAAATTGTATTTTTAAGAAAATGCGTACAATAACATGTGCAAGTTGATTAATTACGCACTGACACAGATTGGAACACATTTAATGATGACTGATTGTGTATATATGTTTAGTTTCTTTTGGGGTCAGTTATGGGTTTGGTTATGGTTTTCCTTTTGTTCTGCATTCCCTCTAATACCATGGATCAATACTCTGTGCAAGTCAGACCAACATTGCGCACCACATTACACTGAGAAAAGATGAGTCCATTAGCTCTACAAAATTAGCTTTTGTTCAGCCTGCCTCGTACATCTGATGGCAGCAGATCGAGCAGGCTCTCTTCTACTATCAACCCACTGTCAGTCAGCAGGGGACAGTCCCCAATCTCCAGAGGCAGAGACTCCAGGCGGTTCCCTTTAATCTCCAGCCGGACCAGCTGGACCAGGTTGGCCACTCTGGAGCTAAGATACGACAGGCAGTTGTTTCCAAGAGCCAAAGTTTTTAGCTTTTTACAGGAGAACAGCTCCTCTGGCACCATCTCTAAAGAGTTGAAAGCAGCGGAGAGGAATTGGAGGCCCTGTGGGATGCCCACCTCAGGAGGTAGAGAGGTGAGCTGGTTGTGGGAGACATCAAGGTGCCTGAGCTTGGTGCAATAAAACAGTCGAGATGGAAGCTTTTGTAGCTTGTTCCAGCTAATGTCCAGCGTCTCTATAGAGTGCAGCTTACTGATGTGATCAGGGATGTAGGTGATTTTGTTGTGCCACAGTCGGAGCGTCACTAAGCGGCGGCAGTGTTGTAAGCTCAGAATCTCCTCCACAGTGGTCAGTTTGTTTTCTTTCAGGTCCAACTCCTGCAGATTGTCCAGGCTGAAGACAGCACTTGGGATGCGCTCCAACTCACAGCCCACTAACTCCAGTGAGACCAGGTTGGTTAACTTCTTCAGGCTACTAAACGCTTGGATCTTGACACCTTCGTTATAGATGGACAACTTCTGCAGCTGCAACGCTACATCCCCTATACTGGGTGGGATCTTTGTAAGGTTGGAGCGGAGGCTGAGAACTCTGAGAGCTCTAAGCCCTCGGAGGGAGTCCAGAGTGGCACTTCTGGACACCTCATTGGTTAAAGGACCATTCAGATGTAACTCCTCCAGGCCATGGAGGGTGTACATCCAAATAGGCACTTCTTCTAAACTTTCAAAAGCTAGGCGCAGGGCCTTTAAATGTTCCTTGAGGTGGTTCAGGGCAGGCAGCTGGAGCTTTGCAGGGCAGAAGATCAGTGATAACTCCCGAAGAGATTCTAGCTTTGCCACACTATGTGAGATGGTGACGTTTTTAACTTGCTCCAGTTTGAGTGATTCCACTTCAGAGATCTCAAAGACTGTGTCAGGAAGCCCCGGTAACATTAACAGGTGGAGCTCCAACTGGTTATTGGTGTTCTTGGAAAGACGGGTGCGCAGCTTTTTGGCAGTCCACTCATGGTTGAGGTTGAGCTGATGCAGACGACTCTCACTAACCTCAGAAAGAAAGACTGCAAATCTTTTAGAGTAAAGGGCATCATATTGGTCCACAAGGTGCAGGAGGAACGCAAAGTCATTCTTTACATCTGGTATGTCGTTAATACCTGTTTCTAGTCTGACCTGCTCAAAGGAGTACTCCTTCAGAGGCCGATGGAAAAGCCAGTAGAGGGTGTAGATGCACAGAAGTCCATACACTCCCACGAAGCAGATATAGCAATAGGCAAGCTTGGAGAAAAGATGGGCTTTGGTGTGGTTACAGCAATAGATATCAAAACCAGTCAGCTCAGGAGGAACAAAACAGCGCACTACTATCTCAATGTTCGGTACCAGCACTGCAGTGTAGATAATGATTACAAGGAACTTGAAGACCTTCAGTGATGTTTGTAGCACATGCATGACATACAAGATGTCTGCCTCCTCTACATGAGTCCTGAACTTCTTCACCTTTTCAAACAGAGCTTTGGCCTGCTCTCCTTCCTTCTTATCTAAGACAGATGGGGCCGACTGAGACTCTGGCTTCTTTTCTGGATTAGACTTGATAGTAGCGGATTGAAGAAGCCCCACAGTCTCCTCCTCATCTGCTCGTCGCTCTGTGGGATAATTTGAGATGGTATTCCTTCTCCAGCTAACCAGTTTCTCCTCTCCCCTTTCCTCAGAAACTTCACTCAGGGCCCTTGTGGTCCATGGTGAATCAAAACACTTCCCGAGGATTGTCACAAAGAGGTCAATTTTAGAAGATGTCCCAGGGAACTTGAACCAGAAGCTGCTTGCTACCATGAAAATCACAGTGTGGATCACAACGAGGTATGGGAAGTACTTAGCATACCAGTGGACAAACCTCTCATAGCAATAGTGGTTGACAAACACGTATTGGTGGATGTCCAGATTGTTCTTGCGGCCAAACACCTCCTGGATGATGGGGCTCGCAGGTTTGACCAGCGTGTGCTGCAACGTGTCATTCTCCCTGTAGGTTCGGATGTGGCTGCAGTCGATTACCTCGGGCGTTGGGCTGGTGAAGTGACTGGGCAGGCAAGAAATCTTGTCTTGGGTTAGCTGTGGGGAATAGATGCATGAATGAATGATTAAAGTCATGAATCCTTTCTGCATATTAAATGTATATTTGAACTGCCTTATACTAACAGATGACAAATTAGAGTTAACGAGACTTTGAATCTGTGCCAAGGAGCATTGAAGCTGTTCAGAAGGCCCAAGATCTTACTTTTGTTACATGGCTCAAGGAATGGCAATGTTGGACAATAAACCACTTTGTTCCAAACTAAACTATCTCAACAACTATTGGATTTATTGTAATGAAATTGTGTACATTCATGGTCCTCAGAGGAGGAATCCTGATAACTTTGGTGTTCTTTTGATTTTGTCCTCTAGCAACCCTGAGGTTGCCATTTTTACTTTTGGTTAAATGTCCAAACAACTTTTGAATGGACTGCCATAAAATCTGGTACAGATATTCATGGTTCCCAGATGATGAATCCTAATAACTTAAGGTGATCCACATTTATCACTCTTTGACATTTTACAAAACTAAGATGGTGAACATAGGAAAAACATTGTACCCTCACCATGTTAACATTTAGCTCATAGCGCTGCTAACATAGCTGCAGACTCTTGGTCCTTTAATTTCCTTTCCTTTAATTTGTATATGAAAAAATGGCTTGCACTAATTTGTAACAGTAAATAGTACATTTGTTGGGGACTATTTTCATTAATGGATTCATATACATATGCTGCTGTGGTGAGTATTGACAGCAGCAGGACAACGTATATACTGTATGATTACTCAAAATAAAGTACGGTGCTCATGTTCATCACAATAAAGGAACATATCACCCAGGTGTGTTTTCAATATTTTGAGACAACAATGAAGGTGTGTGGCACAGAGGAATAAGCTATATTTCAGTTTATAAGTGTATAAATAAAGTGTATAAATTCTGCCAACAGTGCACAATTGAATACAAAATAATTCTATAGATGAGTTTTTTGAATAAACCAAATTCCGTGCGTTTTAAGACTTTTCAAGACTTACAGATACCCTGTAATCAGAGGTGATAAGCAAACACAGCTTCAGTCTTTACGTTGGTATTTAGCATAGCCTGGGTATTTTAACAGTTAAACTTCTGAACCAGTAAAACTTGTAGTGCCTGTACATGATATAGTTCTTTAGGCAGCTGCCTCAGGGTGCAATTTACTGGTATTCGTTAAGGTGTTTCCTCTGGACTGGTCTTCTGTTGTCAGTAAGTCTATCTCAGTAAAGTTGCACTAATTGCAGGAATGGACTCTTCCTGCTTTTGCTCTTTAATAAAGCAACACCCACACCTTTCTCACAGAGAGACAACGTGTTAACGAAACAACAAGTAGCAGAAGTTACTCTCACATCTTAATCCTGTTGCTTTTCTCCTGTGCTATTTTACTGTGACACAGAAATAATAGTCAGGCAGTGAGAGACACATTAAGCAGCAAGTTAGTGATCTGAATCTGCAGTAAGTGGGTCAGGAGAGACAAGTTAGTTCAGTTACACTGTGTGTTTTCGCCTGACTTGGAGGTCAGATAATGTAGGAATTGCTCTGCTGTGTGCCATAAGACAAAGTGGAGGGTTTGTGGGAACAAAATAACAAAAGTTATTTTGATATGCCACAACAGATAAAAATTATGCAAATGTCTCATCAGGCAGGTTAGGTTGTATTAGGTTAGTAATGGTTACTAAATAGGTTAAGTGGCCTGTTTGTAGATGCCTCACCTGCAAGGTGCACCCAAACACTCCAATCATTAGCATAACAATGCACAGGTACTCTGAGAAAACATCCCACCATGGTTTCAAGACCCGATACTTTGAGTTCAGCTCTGCGCCGAGGTTTCTGAATTCACCCACTGGGATCATCCTGGCTGCTGCTCCACACTGATGAAAGAAACGAGTGGCTGTGAACACTGAGGCTAAAATAGGTTTCCAACACAGTGCAGCCTCTGGAGAACATCTTGTCAAAGGTTTTAAAGTCACATGACACAGAAAGACACATGGTGCACAAACACAATATATTTTCAGGAGTGAATACTTGGGTTCGTTATGTAGACAGCGACTGCATTAGGCATCTGCGGGCTTGAGTGAATAAACAGACTGTTCCTGTGCTGAGGGCGGGTTTAAGGTGGATAAACTAGTTTGACAACAATGTCTGACAAAAAGTAACTCCAAGGAAAGGGTTGCCCGAAATTTCTCAAGGTATTTTTTTCCCAAGAGAATAAGAGTAAAAAAAACCCCAAGAAAGTCCCATAAATACTCAACACCTTAAAAAAACACCACTAGGCTATATCCAAAATAGCCAATTAGCCAAATTTATTTCTGATGTAAAGTGTTTCAAAGTGACACTTAACATGAGTCAACAAGTAGACAAACTACTGCAGCAAACTTCTTCTTTCTAACCAACCACTTTCTTCTTTAATCATCTTTCTAAACATTTCTACTTCTTTGTAGGTAAAAGAAACATTTTAACATCACACCATGAAAGGGACTGGCTTTCACAATAGCTAATTTATATAGACAAATCTACAGAGTCGCATGTACATGTTCTACTGTCCATTAACTTATTAGTCTTTGAAAGAGTTGTAAGTGTGTTTTCACCATCAGCACATACAGTAGGGCTTAAATAAACTAATCTGTGGTATTCAGCTTTAACCAGGTGAACATAACTTACCTGCGCCAGAAGAAGATCCACTGGTGTCCGGTGAGTATCGGGATCGGGACTCTGTTTTTCATGGTTAAAGACGAGCGCACCGGTGTCAAGTTACCTAGAAACAACACAGCACATCCGGACAAGATTTTCAAAATAGACCCATTCTCAACAAGTCAATACAGCAGTTTTGAGTGCTAACTTTACAAACGATAAGAAAATAAAGAGACTTAAAATGTATCCTACTGTAGATTATGGGGACCTCTCTGAATTAATGTTTTTAAATCGATTCAATCACTCGATTTCTCTTACATTATTCCTAGTTGCAACTTTCACTCTATTGTCCTTCAAAAACCTAATTTGACCACAATTTACTTCTTCCTATTCTTTTTTTGCAGGTTCAATTCGTTATGTATATTAATCTATTATCACGTTTTACTATTTTACATTTTTGTCTCTTTTGTTAGTTTCTCTATGATAAAAAGCAAAAAAAAAGAACACTTAACACAAACATAAAAAAATAGAAGATTGTGTAGTAAGTATTTTTTAATGTATCATAATGTATCACTTCTATTGTTGAATCATATGGGTGTTGCCTGGTAAATTTATGGATGTAGACTTCTAACAGTAGTTGACTTGTGTAATGCAATATAAAGCATCTATCTAAAATGCATTAAAAGGATGACAATCTTTTTTTTTATCAAATAAGATGTTACTGCAGCTCAAGCAGTTTTGCTTTGTTGAGGGCTGCAGTAGCGTCTCAGTTTGGCAGGATTAGGTCTTGATACTTTTGTAAGCCCACATAAGCAGGGAAGTTTTCCTCTTGGATAATATAATAATGGCCTATCTCATCCACCTGCCAGGTTCAGTAAGGAAATGAGATGTGTCAGCAGCCATCTTGGGTGGTCGATTAATGGCACAAGTACAAGTAAAGTAAAAACCAAAGAAAAATGTGACTCAGCTGATCGGTGTCTATGGTGAAACTTAAATTGGTGCAGGTGACTTGTTTATGTTACATATGATGAAAATATCCAATACAGTGAACAGGTACAGTTTGTTCAGTATAAAAGAACTTCAGCTCCCTCCAGTGGCCACTGCTTTTTTGTAAACTTGCAACAACTTCATTTCATGATCCAAATGCCAGGACCACAACAGATCAATCCTTCACATTAAAACAAATATTCATGTGGTTAGGGGCTATATGTAAATAACAAGTCTACAGATCAAAACTAACAAATCATTACATGACTACAGTAGTACAATAAACATATATTTTACTTTACAATGTATTATTGTACAGGGCGGTTTTTTTTTTTTTGCTTGAAAAAAAAAAAAATGTACAAAGCAGACCTTAAATATTCTAATTTCCATTCCAACTACTGACGGACAGGAAAAAAAGTCCCTTTCGAAGTGAAGCTTTTTTTTCTTTTTTTTTTTTTTTTTTTTTACAAACATCCAAAATTAGCATTAACAGGCATTCCTACTCAGTTACAATGCATGCGAGTTATTCAAAAACACAACACCAGGGTCCAATTCAATACAAAGCTGATGTCAGTTTAGAGGAACAAGAAAACCAAAAGGATCTGAACAAATAAATAAAAAAGTGAGCTCTGAAATTCTGTACAAGACTTCTTAGAATATCAATGTACAAAACATCACTTAAAAACCTTTGTAGCTTAAATTGCTGTTACAAATACACTTCTTTAAGCAAATTTTTGTCATTAGCATACAATATTTGAACACTAATGCACAAACATGGTCACTTCTGTTTCTGAGGTCTGGTGGATGTGAAAACCAAAGAGTCAACTGCAGGTAGAGGTTCTCAATTGTGTCAGTGATTAGTGTTTTTATAAAACACATTCAGTGAGATGTTTGAATCTAAGTTTTTAAATGCTACAGTATTCTGTTTCCTCTAAACACAGTCAAAACACATTTCTCCATCCTCTTGGCACTCCATATACCAACAGACCCATACACCAGACACGTCTCAACACCCATTTCCAAAAAATTTCACATTTTTTAAACCTACCAGTGGCTGTTAGTGAAAGGACACATTAGTTACTATGCAGTTACTGTAAAGGTCCTGCTTTTCCTGTGCCAACACTTGAATTTGAGACTTTGGGCCTCATGCAAGAACCACTAGATTCGTTTTTAAGTAGCATATACAAGTAACTTATTAGTACTTTAAGGGTGATTTAAGATTTTACTGCCACATTTTGCAGTAAACAAATTGGATTAAGCAGAATAAGTAGTCTTATATACTGACTTTGGTGCACTGATTATGTAATGATCAAACCTTACAATTGTACACCTCCTCATTAAGAGGTGGCATAAGTCAGGTTGAAATGAGAAGTTTACAACAAGTTTGTGCAGTGAAGAGAGCTTGCTGTATCTGACTTGGAACATATATGAATAAGCCTCACAGAGAAAAAGTAGGAGAGGTTTAGGACAAAAATATTAAAATGTTCTTGCATGAGGCCAATTGTCTTGTATAAGCTTCATCTTGTGGCTGTCTGGGTTAACTTCTACAATTTCTATACAACACACAGTGACTCTGTCTGTGCCTTTCCAACACAAGCACCTAGAGACAATATACTGATGACAGTAATGCCCACAGGCATTGTAATGGCACTTTGAACTCTACTGCCCATACTGAGTGACAAATGCTACTTTTTTGTATTGTTTTTTACATAATGGGATCATTTGATTTTTTTTCCCTCCCCTCAGATTGAACTTTTCCAACTTTTCCCCTGATGACTATGAGCCCATAAATGGCCCTTTTTTGAATGCAGCCCTTTCCTCCCATGGCTCAACCCTGGGAGATGATGGTCCGACTGAAGACTTCAAATGCCAGATGTGAACACGGATGGACTGAGGTCCATGTCGGATTTGGCGAAACACAATTCATCACAAACAAATTAATCAAATTTCTGCTCTTGGAAACTGCACTTTTAAAATAAAGTGTTACTCATTTTGTGTTGTTTTTTTTTCTTTTTAATTCACATCAAGTGTAATATCTAGAACCAGTGAGGCAGCATGTGGGTTTTCAGCTCACTTCTGTCTCTAATCGGTTGTGAGGGTCCTTATTTTGATTTGGGAAGACAGAGTTGAGTTCTGGGGTGCTCATTTGTATATGTGCATGTGTGTCAGGGTCTAGTGAGGAGCTTCAGGGGCCTTTGCTGAAAGGCCCGCTGTGCCTCTGATTGTGGTGAGAGCAAAAACCGGAGTTGGCTGACTGATAGGCCGGGGATGCTGCACCACTCTCCCTCTCAGACTTTTGACAGGTAGGCAGTTCTTTCTGGCAGGGCTCCATGGTAACGGCCACGCCCACGCCGCTCCGCCCTGACGTCATGTGTGTCACCTCCGACCAGGTGTCCGTCTCTGGGTCGTAACACTCCACGCTGTCCAGGAAAGTGTTGCCATCGTAACCTCCTGTAAACGTAACATTGACATTTTGTTTGGTGACTTTAGTTTTGCTCAACAGAGGTTTATGCTCAGAGCTTCCTCACTTTGACTTGCCAACCACAGGTGTGAACAATAGCGTTAATAGTGATGGCGTTATGTGTAGGGATGACACGATACCAGAATTTCACAAGTCAGTACAGATACTAATGAAATTCCACAATTCTCAACACCAAATTCAATCCCACGGCAAAAAACAAAAAACAACCAAGGCCGCTACACACACAGTGTGCTAACACACACACACACCTCCACATAGTCAGTGTGCCATTATTAAAACACAGTGCCTCTGGCCTTGGCTGTCGCTGGTGCAGGGGTAGGAAAAAAAAAGAAAAAAAAAAAAGAAGACTTTCTTCAATGAATAAATCATCCAACTTGTTGACACAACATTAACACTCAAAAACAAAAATAGATAAATAAATATTCTTATTAAATATATGGTGTTAGTTGGATTGACAATAGTTAGTTGGCCATTACCCCAATGTCCAAAACACAGGTGGTCAAGTTATAAGACTAAAATGTGCTCGCAGCAAACAGGAAACAAGTCAGTGGCTCTACAGTACCTACAGTGAAATGTATTTATTTATTTTTACTATAGTTTGGTGCTTTGACTCTCAGTAGGCAGTTTCTAGTTACATTACTACTCACCCAATACATAGATGCGTCCATGTAACGCAGTGACTCCCAGAGCACTGCGCCGGTGCCTCATGGAGGCAGCAAAGCTCCATGTATCAGTTTCCACATCATAGCGCTCCACTGTGTTCAGCTGGTTGGTGCCATCGTAGCCGCCCATCACGAAGATGTGATTCCCCAGTGCACACACACCTAAAGAAATACAGGTCAAGATTAGTTTATGTAGACATCAGCAAACAGTGGAAAAACCTTCAAGCATATGCTAGAATTTGTAAAACTCCTACACGATACATGATTGTATAGTAAAAGATGAACCCTTCTAATGTACCAGCATCTTTGCTTTGACTGACATTATGGTCAAAAAGAATACAGATAAAAGTATTTCCACATTACTTACTCTGTCAAAAAAGAGTTCTCAATTAGATATCTAAATATCGTAACACCAGTTCATGCATGTGATCAAGGACACGTGAGAATATACCGAACTCATTCCTCCTCTGCTACCACTACACCTGTGTACAAACTACACACAAAAGCTTCTGAGCTTCATATTGAGTGGTCATAGTAAGATCTGGGCATTTGTGCCTTTAGTGGACATTTTCTGTGGTATAACACAGGCAGCAAAGGTTCCTGCAGGAATCAAACCAGTGGCATTATGGTTATGCTTCATTTGTCTTTATTAACTGGCTACCAGGACCTCCTTCCTGTCTGGTTTAAATCCCCCTTTCGATCTCCTTAACACGAATCAGAGGGCCTGCTGAAGCAGACCTTACATATACCTTTCAAAACCACGTATGAAACCTTGCACAGCCATTTGTGAACCTTCCAAGCAGACTGTACTGTGGAGACAAGTTTTTCATTTAGAGTATTTCTTACTTACCAGCTCCAGAGCGGACAGTGTTCATGGGGGCCATGGTTTTCCACTCGTCCCTCTCCGGGTTGTAGCATTCACAGGAGCTGAGCCGGTTTGCCCCGTCAAACCCCCCCACAGCGTAAAGCAGGCGGTTGATGACGGCCACACCCACACCGATACGCCGTGTCAACATGGGGGCTACCAGCTGCCACTGGTCCCTTTCTGGGTCATACCTGCACAGAAGAACCAACATAAATCAGTTCGTTTTTTTAATTTGAACTTTTCTTCAGGGTTTTCCCTGTTTTTCTCAACCAAGCAGTAGAATTAGTCAATGCTGCATCAATGACGAGAGTGTTCACTCAGGGTTTCACTCAAAGTCAAAACTCTCTTGTTTTATTGAATGGAAGGTAGGTACTACTTCTGGAAACTAAACTGTGCAGCACAGATTCATTTGTATGTGCGTGATTCTACTGTAATGAGTCAGTCCACAGGCATTCAGACAGGTAGGGCACATTCCTTTTTCAGTCATTGTGGGCTGCCTGGTTAATAATTGCTATTTGTCACTGCTCTCTGTCTGTGTCATCTCAAGACTAAAGCCAGAGTTTGGGTAAATTTTCAACCATGAATTATGATCATTTACATAATTCACTGTTTCATAGACAAGCTGACTGGTTAAGGCTTGTGTCACAGGTCTGGATTTGAGTCATGCCAACACAGTAGGGAAAAATTGTTAGATGCATGTTGGTGGGACATGTCTCTTATTCTTCATTAAAATAGATGTTGCCGGCTCATTGTCCAGGTTAATTGTCCAGCGACTTCTCTTTTTTGCCATGGCATCATTTACAGTTTAGTCTGAAACACAAAATGTTTTCCAGTAGATTAAAACTTCCTCATTGAAGCTTTTAGGAATTAAAATAGATTAAAAGGAAGTGGAACAAAACCAATTATTTTCCAGGAAGTTACCTGATCAGAGCATTGGCCTGTGCTGTAGGGCTGTCCCAAACGATTATTCTTTAAACGATTAATCTAGCGATTATTTTTTCGATTATTCGACTAATCTAACGATTATTTTTTTTATTAACCTAACAGTAATTTTATTGCAATTATTTTCCAGTTAGTCATTTAATATAACAATTTGCCCCGTCCAACACACACACACACACACACAAATGAAGATGCACTTTGCAGAGTCTGCAGACTACCGCACTGTTGGTGTCAAGATTAAAGTATTCCCAAACTTTGGAGGACCGTGTGCGAGCCTTTTTTGCCGCGTGTTGCTCCACACGCTCCGTCGTACTGCTGGTAGATGCCGCCATGTTGTTCAAATAGATTACACAGACGCAAATCATTCACGTAGTCAATGACTTCAATTACGTCACCGCGTTGTCCCAGCCCTTGTGCTGCGCTTGTATCCGGGTAAACCAAAGACGATGGATATAAACGGTCCCATTAGAAAGTTCTGGTTTTGTTCTATGAACATTTACCCTGTGTGGTTTTACACGACGCATCGACACTAAAATTCCACGTCGAATAATTTTTATAATCGGCAACGTCGATTACGTTGGATAATCGTCCCAGCCCTACTGTGCTGTAAGTCATACAGTATATCCTACTGTTTATTATTGGATCAATACAATAAGGAAAACCACAGAAACAGTTATATTGACATTCATTTTAAATCAACAGCCTTTAAAAACAACCTGGCAAAAATGAAAGCACACTTGCAGCACACTAAAAGCAGATATAGCTGTTGCTAATTAAAAGATAATTTATCATTATAAACAATGAACCAGGCTGTGGCAATACAGGTAACACTGACACTACGTCATTGGATTTGGTCTGTTCAGGGGAAAAAATGAAGATAATAATATATATAATATATAAAATAACGTAAGCCATACCCTTTAAATGCCCGACTCACTCACCTTTCAACACTATTATGATGAATGCACCCATGTGATCCACCAACTGCATATATCATGCCATCAATGACACCAACTCCGATTCGGTTCCTAGGCACGCTCATTGGCGCACACGGCACCCAGCAGTTGTTCATAGGATTGTAGCAGTCCAATGCATTCGAGTCCATGTTGCCATCAGGCGCGTTGTTTCTTCCACCAACAGCGTAGAAAAGCCCACTGATCACACAGGCTGCCAGGCCACTGCGGGGTACCTGCAGGTCAGCAAGCCTTAGCCAGCCTCCTGTACAGGGATTATAGGCCTCCAGGTAGCTCAGAGACTGACGGAAATAACCCCCTGCTGTGTAGATGAGCTGCGGCACCTTGGGAGTTCGGCAAGAAATGACTTTGGTGGGTTTATGGAGGGTGAGGTCCTGGAAGATCTGGGCCAGGTAGTCTTTACACTGGGGATCCCAGTCCAGAGACTGGAGCTGGGCCTGCAGGAAGTTGGGGGTGAGGGAATGGCAGCGGACAGCCTGGAGTAAGGCCTGGACGTACGGTCGCCGGTTCTCCCGGTCGTAGCGCACCCAGGCCACACATGCCTGGAAGACTTCGGACTCGCAGCGTACATTAAGCTCATCCCGGCTGATGAGGGTGACCAGCTGACAGTGAGACAAGTTGAAGAACTCCTCCTGGGTCGCCACCTGGAAGCAGGTGTAGGGATAAAAACTTTTAATCAGTGTTTTTACAACCAACAAGCTGAGCTCTGATCAATTAAACATAGAAAAACGTCTATTAGTCGTGAAAATATTTGGTATTAGGTAATAAAAAAGAGGAATTTAAACAACTATGTTGAGGAAAGGAGACTAAGATTCAGAATAGGGATACAATTTAGGATTATTTTTATTATCACTTAATCTGACCATAATTTTCTCAATTGACTGGTTGATTGTTTGGACTGTAAAAAAAAAAAAAACAGAAATTAGTTACAAATGCCCATCACCATCTCCTTAAGACCATGATCACATCTCAGGATAGTTTGTTTTGTCTGTCCAGTCCAAAACCAAGAGATATTCAGCTTCACTATCACATATGACAATGAAAAGCAGCAAATCCTCATAGTAGCTGGTACCAGAAAATTGTGGTAGTTTTCTTGTGCTGATTCATGTTCTGTCTATCAATTAATAGATTAATAGACTAATCATTTCAATGTCAGGACAACAGTTGTATTATGTTTAACACAGCTGTCTGTAAAACAGTGACTGAAAACTGTTTAAACAAATCCAACTACTGCCAAAAATAATTCAAAACATTCTGTGACACTCTGGTCAAATGTCAAGATTATCTGGGAGATAATAGAGGAAAAACATAAGACTTATTTAGACTGGCACACCGACTAAATATCCAGGAAATCCAAATCTTTGGAGGGGCATGTACGCATCAAACATTACACGATTTGCGTATAACTTTTGATAAACACAAAATAGTTTTCCAAAAAAAACTGTTGTCATCCGGGTTTACCTAATTTCTTTATATCAAAAGACATGAGACTAACCCAATGAGAGATATTATGCAGGGCATATTTGACTCAGTGCCCTGTCTAACCAGCTGCCGCTCTGTCTGTCCTTATCAACGTGTCAGGAATCAATATTAAGTTTTTGTTTCTTTGTTGCACTGCATTGTACTGTCTTCTTTTGGAGTCAGGTATGCTCCAACCACATGTAAACCCACACACACCACTCTTCGTGACTCACAGCTTGCATTCTTGATAATCAATGTAAGCAGGTCTGAAGAGAAAAAAAAGCCAGCCAGCAAAAAACCACAGCGGAACAAGTGAAACAGCCTTTACTTTACACACAAGTCCCCTGGTACAAATAGTAGCCTACTATAAAAAGTGAAACTCAGTTTCCTTTTTCAGTTATGAGCTGTGAAGGTACATTTATAATGTATCACTGTTGTAGTAGTTAAATATGATTGATTATTTTATATGACTTTTAGATTACATTACTTAAGCTGCTGCTATGACTTTTTAAATGAGCATGTCATTGCCCTCAAATTTAGTCAAACCACAGTGTTTTTTCCTGACTGACCAGGAAAAATATGCAACCAAAGCTGATCTATGACAGTAGGGAACGATCACTAAATGATGCCAAAAAATTCAGACAACTCATTTGCTGTTAAGAAGCAATTACACTGCTAGACGGAGCAGCTCTTACTTTCATGTGCACCTGGTACAGCCTGACTGATACCATGTCTGTTCATAACAACAGGCAGCTTGCCAAGTTTCTTCCAAATCTTGTGACTCCAGTCCTTTCAATGCAAAGTTTGGTAGTGTAATGGTTAAGATGAATACCGCATAAGTACAATGTTTCTCAGTTGGGTACCTTTGTTGCACGTCAAACTCCTTTTTTTCTCTCTCCTCACATTTCCTGTCTGTTTCTACACTGTCAACTATCAAAAGAAGGCAAAAAACAAACTTACAAAAATGATTACAGACAAAACAGAGGAGCTTGTTAGAAATAACTGTCTGATATTCACCTGGCTGAAATTCATGTAGATGTACTCTCGGGCCTTCTGGTGGAGCTCTGTGCAACCAATCTGCTCAGCAAAGCTGGCGATGCCAATGGCGTTGCTCGGGTCGAGCTGCTGGACCAAGAAGTCGCAACAGGCCTTCACCACGCTGTCTATCTGGTACATGACAGCGCCATTCATCACGTGGATCACACACTTCTCGCCCACAGAGATGCTGGCTGTGTAGGCAAACTCTATCAGCCTGTCCATAACCTGAATGGGTGAAGAGGACAAAGGATTGGGGGAAGGTGACGACAGAGTACAGGGAGAAGAAACGGGGTGAGGATAGAAGAGAAAGTTACTTGGAGAGAAAAGGAGGGGGAATAACGCTCTATTTAACTGCCTATTCATTTCTCCCTGGAAAGTACAGACAGATTGGCATCTCATAAGCTAACAAGTGGTAGATACTGTGTCCATGTGTGTATCTATGTGAGCTTAGTAAACCTCCAGGGTAAGTAAGAGAGGTCAAACTAAGTGCACTCTGCCAAGTCTCACAGTACTTTTCACTGCAGTAAGATCAGAAGTGCAACTTGTCTCAATCACACAGAAAACCACTGATGATTCAAACGTTTTGTTTTTTTAATTTAATTAGAAGAACATTTACAACTGAAACTCCTTGTTGTAAGGATGATATTACCATGGCAAGAGGCTGAGACCTTTAATTTAACCACTGGCTTATACTAGAAGAATAAAAAAGTGGTTTTATTAGCATTTTGTAGTTGTGACAGTATAGTGGAAAATGTGCCAATAAAAACACCTTTATGACAGCCATAAGTCCAATCACTTCTTCTTTGATGAGACCCTGAATCATCCTTAATGGTAGTGAGTGTGGAGATGAATGGTGACTGAAATAGTATGTCAATTCAAATAAAGCATCAAATAAGAATAAGACATCTGACTCACCCTGGGGTGAATCCCCTCGATAGGCACTAACTCCATACCGCACTCCTTCAGCCCATTGGTGAACATGGCCCTGAAGACCGGGGATGAGGAGGCCAGCACCACCTTGTGAGCCACGAAGTCTACCGCCTCCAGGTCTTTGTAGCGCACGCGGAGTGTGACGTCGCACAGCTGGCGCTCCAGACGCAGCTCGTTCATGATGGCGAAGGCAGCTGCTGTGTGGCTCTCTAGCGTGTAGCTGAAGACGCGGTGGCCGTTGCGCGTGGACGGAGTCACCAGCGCTTTGCATTCTGTCAGGCACTCTGTCATTTCCTACCCTTTCTCCTCCTCCTTAGTCTCTTTCTCAAGAACAGCAGACACTGTTATGGAGCATCCTTGCACCACATGCAGGCATGGGTAAAATAAAATAAAGTCTCTCCTGGGTACGCCTGGTTTTTGTCTGTGTGGAAGAGTTCACGTTTAAATCGGTTTTATGTGGACATGAGGATTTCCTTGCTCTGTTCAGTGCTTGAGTCCAGCCATACTGCTCATTACGGCATTATTAGAGACTACAATGCGAGCTGCTACTCATGGCTGGGTGTGCTGTAACATGTCGTGGTTCCAACATAATCAAAATGTCTTTGAGTTCAGGAGTCGAGCCGAGAGCAGAATTGAGTTAGAGAATAATAGGCATGGAATATTTCGGCGACAGTAAGAACTGAACAAGTGAAAATACTGAAACAAACCTCTTTCAGCTCAACTGTTTGTGTCGACAACAGAAGTGTTTTTCCTTCCACTCTCGGTGATGTCGACAGAAACTTGTCAATCAATCCTGACAATAAAAACGGTCTATTACAATACGCGTCTCTTCTCTAGGGAATCGTCTTTTTTTTTAAGGTTTTTGTCACCAAATTTATTTAAAGTGCTCAAATGTGTTCAATAGAGCAATTCATCTGATAAAAAATAAACAGATTTGAAGATTAACGTTTGTGAAATCTGGGGCAGGTCTGTCCTGCATATTGATTTCTCTAGAGAGGAAAAGGAAAAAAAAAATCTGATTTACAGCTTCATTTTAGAGAGGTAATAATTAAATCTGCCTTCAGAGTGCTTCGCTTCTGCTGAGAGCTGCAAAGTCAGAAACTGTAGATGAGGCAGCGGAAGCGTTGTCGACTGAAAGGAAAAAAAGAAGCTTGAGTGCCAAAAGTGTCATAAGGGTAACTTGGAGCCCTTGGGAATGAGAGGGGTGTTCAGTGGCTTTCTCCGGAGACGTCTTCCTTGAGGTTTCCCAGCTAAGGAATTTGTTTGCACTGCTGTGTTTACTAGGAAGCTGTTGGCTCAGCTGACAACTGGGGGGGAAGAGGGAGAAAGAGACAGTGAGTTTTTATGTATATTCGTTGATTATACACTTTAATAAGGCATGGAAACATACAGTTTATAAACCCTGTCACTGTTTAAATCTTTGTATACATCTACTAAATGCTGACTAATACATTGTCTCGTGTAGGAAGTGGCTCAGCACCAATCTCTTTCCATCAACTTACACAACACAAGTTTAACCACTGTGTTCTACCTTACGTCATGCCTGTCACACCCATGGTCTATTCTTCCTGGTGCAGTTCACTGGGGTCAAGGTTTCCTCCTTGTCATGATGCTTATGCCATTTTCTAGTCATGATGACAGCTAAAAAATCAGATTCTTTTCATCTTTGATTGTTAGGTGTTTCTGGTAAGAAGATGATTGAACCTCTCAACATATGAAAAGAAGTTTGAAAAACTTGTTGCTTCTACAACTAAACCCAGAAGCAAATTTAAGAGCATTGCATTACTTAAGAATCTAAATATCAGCAAAAAAATTTGAAAAATATGGCATAAATTGAATGTATAGAGAATAGTGAGGAAGTAATGCCCATTTTAAAAGGACTCAAAGGGGTGACTCAAATTAGACTTTAATTTAGCTGGCCAGCATGACTGAGTGGTTATACTCTGTCCTGTGACCAATCCAGCTGGGGGGCTGGAGCAGAGGGAACGGTTTGCACAACATCCCCCAATTCTCACTAACAACAGACACATGCAAACGTATCAACACAAGCTTCCAACAATTTAACCAACAAACATCATCTTTCAATCTGCATCAAGGGCCACTTTCACTTGGAAAAATCAGGAGCAGCGAGAGATAGCTATGCAGACAAGTTTGGAAATAAATACTTCTACTGGGAATATGTGGGCTCAGAAGGAGAAGAACATTCACACTGTTGCACACCATTAAAATAACCTGGACGGTTGCTACAAAGTGAACACCTCTCTTTCCTGTCAGTCCAACTTCTTCTTTTCAGAATATGAACTGACTGTTACAATAACGGGCTCTAATTGTCTAATGTCTTATGGAGAAGAGTCAGAATTACTCAGCAACAATGTCACTTCAGAGTTACATAACAAAGCACCCATAAGTTGTGCACACAGTAACCGTTAACCTGAAGTGGTGATAAGAGGACGCAGTGCTCAGGCCAGAATGTATGGCCTTGTTGCTTTCCAATCTCCCAGGAGGTTACCGAGTAATTCCTTAATCAGTAAGGATGAGGAAACAAAATATTTGTTATGTCTAGGCATTTTTATCTTATCCAAAGATGGTGGCATGTCAGTGGCCATCGAGTAGCTCCATGAACGCAGTCAGCCAGCCAGCAGTTAAGCCTGCTGTAATATGAAACACGCCATGATTCCCATTTACTGCTGTGCTCATCTCCCTCCAGGTTTCTGGGTAAAATAGTTTCACAGCAGAACATATTGCTCAACTCGCTTGCTCTCGGAGGCGGTCAGAAACTGCTTGCTGACAAACAGGCTCGCAGAGTCTAAGTTGGTACCTGCAGCATAGCTCTGCAGTTATTCCGGTACCGATAACAACATCACAAATGCTTCTGATACTACCTCAAATACCGAGTATGAACAAGTATGCAAGTTTATGCACCGATCTGATACCATGTAATTTATTAATAAACTTTATACTTTGACACTTGGATAAAACAGCAGTTACAAAAAATCAATTATTCGCCTCTCTAAAACAGTAGCTGCCAGTGGCTGCGCAGTGCTACTTCCTTTGTAAGCTACTGTTTTAAAGTGGCGAAGAAGAAATTATTTCTGGTAAGTAGTGTAACGTTAGCTGTAAGCAAGGCTTTAATTTCGAGGGGTGGCACAAATGTAAGGATAACTAGTGTAAGTTATTATTTATTCCTGGATTTATTTATTTTTCTTGACTGACAGTCAAATTAGATAATAAAAGAGAGATTCCATGGCATTCATGTATCTGTTCATGTTTTACAAAGGGTTTAACCTGAGGCATGCCTTACAATGACAGCAGTCATATCACATCCATACAGGGTTAGTAGTATACAGCTAAACAAACAGGTAGTTTGGTCCAAACCAAAGATATTGGTAGGAAGATATTTGTTGTCAGCTCCATTAGAGCTGAAATGATAAACTGATTTATTGATTAACAGATAATTTGTCTACTTTGATGAACAACTCATTGTTTAAATAATTTTGTGTGTCTGATATGATAGCAGTGTGTCCTTCTTTTGGTTTTGGTAGATCACATTGGGCTCCAGGAAATGGTGACTGCTGCTATTTCATAAACATTTACAGCTGTACCTAACAATCACTTCCAGTATCAATTTATCTGCAGAGTACTTCCTCTATTAAATTGGAATAAAAATGGCCATCACAATTCCCTAAAATCCTACAGTGCTGAAGTTTAGATTACAATGCTGTTACAGTGATGTTGACAAGAATGATACACAATAGAGAAAAATAGCAAATCCACACAAACTCAAATATTTTCTTGAAACATGACTTAAACAATTATTCAGTAAAGTTGCTCATTAACTGTCTGAATGTTTGCTAATTGATTAATTGACTAATTGTTTCAGTTCTACAAATGATTAGTCACTTACTCTTGGAAATAATCAACAGATTAATCAATAATGAAAATAATTCTTATTTGCAGCACTACATTAAACACATCTAGACTGGACGTCTATATATACATATATATATATATAAAAATTGGAAACATCAGTGAGAACAGTGAAACCTATGACACAACACTCAACCTCATACACTCTCACAGTGTGATTGTTCCTCAGTACTTGAGGACTTTCTGTAACACCTCCAAAGACCCCTGATAAACCCCGCACCTCAGTTTGGGAACCACCGTTCAGGCCTGCAATCCTTGGATGCCATTCAGCAGGGATTGCACAATAACTGGAGTGACTAAAACTTTAAAGTTAATAAGAGTTGCAGCTCACAGGAGACATTACACAGCAGTGTACGCAATTTTTAAGGCTGCAAAGCAAAAAAAAACGAGGACGAGCCAAGAGTAAAACAAACAGTGTTTAACATGTTTCATGGACATTTTGGCAAAGAGCTTTCCTCGGTGACTCATCCTGAACTCTTCACCGAGCAAACAGTGGAACTGGATGTACCAAAACATGACCCAGAAGGGAAGCCAGTCCTTACATAAACCCAGGTGGAATTAGATTTCCGCGGCATCTAGCTAACGTGAAGAGCTTTCACACAAAGCCCCCCGGTCCAGTCACTAGTTATATACACTGATCATTTCTGCGCTTGTTTTGATCAAAAATAAACCAGAGCGCTGGCATGCACCGAAAATAAGGGTAACACAGGTGAAGCAGGCTTGACTAAATCCTCTGTTTGGTCTGCGACAAAAGTGAACTCAATGTGTTCATGACAAAGCACCGGAGACACCACAAATAACAAGTTAAATGTTTCGGAAATAGAGCTGACAGCGAAATAGGCTCCTAATAATAGACAGCAGCGTAACGGCTGTGATCCGACCCGAGCTCAAAAATGCTAACAAAGCGATCTCCAAACATTTCTCTACTGCCAGCCGCCCCCTCGCTTTGAAATCTCCACACAATACAGCTTGTATTAACAATTGCTGGCTGCTAAATGTGTAATTAAAGAAACTCACGTAGTCTACTTCAAATCCTCCATCGCTGTCTGCCGACTGTCGAGCTGTGCGCCACATAGGAAGGAGGGGGGGAAAGCTGTAACTCACCGTGACTAAGCATTGTACCGGCCTCTTCTCGCTTTCACAATAAGAGTCCGCCTCCACGGCGCTGGACCCGCCTCCGTTGAAGAGTAATGGCAGTGACATTCGTCCCGAGGGAGGGGGCTCTTATTGAGAAGGAGCTCTCAGAGCGAAGGAAAAACAAGGCCGATAGTTGGCAGAGTGCCATAAACTGTAGCTTTAACATCAATCAAATCTGCGACAAATTAAATAAATACCACCGACGTGATAAACGTGTAGAATGTGACTGGTACACTTTGTAACACGTCGAAGGGGATATGCCGTCATGTTAAGTAAAGGTTCATCTCAAACTATACAAGGACAAATTCAGTTACATCGCTTTAAAGCAATGTGAACAAATTTTGAAATGTCAATAGGAAATTACAAAAAAAGCTATTGTTGAATGATGTGATGTGAAAAACATAATGGCGCTCAAATGCCCTCTAATAACCCTATAACTCAAATTGCTTCCTCATTTGTGCAGCTCACCTTGCTTGTTAATCTTCCTTCCCCTAAACATCCATGTTTGTGAATGGCTCCTTCAGTACAAAGCAGCTCCCGAGCAATCTGCTTGCTCCGGTCAGGTGCTGACAGACCAGCAAGTTTTTTCCCTTCTTGCAAAATACGTAATTCAGGTCAATACGACAAATTATAGCCTCTATTCTGCTTAATAGCCACAAGGTGGCACCAAAGCCTAATAGTGACACTGCAGGTCTAAAGATCCACTTTGAGTGACTAGCTCAAAAAACTTGTTCCCTGTCTCGAGGAGGTTACGTTTTCACACGTGTCTGTGTATTTATCAGCAGGATAACATACTGAACCGATTTGCACCAAACTTGGTGGAGAGATGGGGCATGGGCCAGAGAAGAACTAATCACATTTTGGAGCAGAACCAGATCATATATTATGAATTTGATTTTTTTCTCTGAAGTCTGGTCCATGTGGTTTGACGTTGGCCTTCGTAAGAGTGAACTTCTATTTGTCAAATTAATGAGTTTTAATCATTTGGAAATGAACTGCCAGTAATTGTATAGTACAAAATATTTCAGCTTTGATGCCCCTATTGCCAGGATTCACAGTTGATTACATCAAATAACTCAAGCTGTGATTACATGTCTACTCCCTAAGGCTAAATGAAATAGATGATAAAGCATCGACAGTCATGATAAATCCTTGATATGATATGACAGGCCTTGAATCATCCTTCACTTATAATTCCCCAGAGTGACTCTGCCCTTACTATGTGTATAGTTATAGTCAGAGGAATTAGGTGAGGTTAGCCTTGGGACACCACATAGACAATCCTAGACAAGTGTCATACTGTCTGTCTGTCTCTCATGCCTCTGGGAGGTAAAATCTGCAATCATATACAGCTCTGAGGTCATTTTTGTGATTTACTTTTGTATACAATACCATCTTCTCTATCTAATAAAGTAACTACCCAAGCCAAAGCTCTGGTAGGTGTGGAGCAAGGAGCAGTGCAGCATGCATCTGTACATCTGTAATGCAAACTTGTGTGTGGGATTGTCCTTGGTGAGCATAACAAATGACTTATGACTTCTACTTGTCCAGTTTGTTGTATGATTTCAGCAGCAGGAAGGAAGCTGGAGGACAGGAATGATTCCCTGACTTGCTGACCCCTGTCAGCACGCACAGTGATGGTGAATGCAGCCAACATCTGGAGGAACATCTGCACCCATACAAATCATATCAAAGGTGTCCCAGTGCCTGTGGTACCAGTTATTGTAGGTAAGTATGTCTGTGGGTCACTGAAGATTAAATCTAAAGTGAAAAAACTATATAGTTTGTCACGCTGCCTGTTTGGTAACACTAGACTTTGTAGCAAATGGATGTGTGCCTTTGCACACAGTCAGCTTCCTCTGAGAGGTGTGAAAATGTACCTAAATAGATTACCTTGGTTATAGCAGTATTTGCATTAGCTAAAGATTGCCAAGCAAAACTGTTCTTATGTTTAGAGTCAGAGGAGTTTGTAATCTTAATAACGTTTTAGAGCAGTGCCAAACCTCCAGGATTTGCGGTTACAAAATAACAAGATGTCATTTCACATTTGTTAGTCTTTCCATTTGTGGCATTTATAATAATCATACCCTAAAGCAGTGTTTCATAATTGTATGAGCTAAAATGCCAAATAAAACCCACACAATATTTCTCTTGAACTAAACCCCACAGTGGGACTACAATGTCTCTTTAAGTCATGGGTAATACAGAGAAATACACAACCTTCAGTTGAATTAACAGCCTGTTGAGTTTGTCCTGTCCACAGAAGGTACAGTTCCCTGTGAACTAACGTTAAAGCCAGTTGCAAATGTACATTCTCAATTTCAGCCATGACAAGCGTGGACAGCAGGTCAAAGTGAAGCGATGGCCAATTGTACCCACAGGTTGATAGAAAAAGGAAAAAGAAATATGGAGTGTTCAATGTCTGGATAAAAGCTGCATTGTATGGCGCTTGAGCCGTCCTCAGACATGCAGCGCTTGTAGAAGAACACTGCATGTAGGCCAATGCCATTACCAGATGTGAGACAAGGGGGTTGACTTCCTGTGGTGCTTCTTCAAGAGCTGTTCTTCCATTCATGCAACCTCAGACACACATAAAGAAATACACACAGATATGCATTCATGAATGCACCATTTCAGTGCGCACACAATCAAAATAAACCAAAAACTCTTTGGAATCAAAAACATTTTATTTCTTTTATGAAAAGAAAGATAAAGTCTGCTAGCCCTTTCTCATCACAAAATAGATATAATTTACAATATAGACGATATAAAAAGTCTTCAGAAATACAAAAGGTTCACTACATGAATTACAGTACAAAAAAAGCACACTGCCTCTTCCATCAATTAAGGTCTTGTAAGACTACACTAAAAAGCAACTGTATAAAAAGGCTGATGTCAAACTCATCTCATAATAAGAAAAAAATCCGTACCTTAAACTATAACCAGAAATATTCTGATAACACAATGAACAGTGAAGGGAAGAATTGGAATAATTACTCTTTGATGAATCTGTTCTGGCTCTGCGTGATTTAGCTTAAAAGTGCAGGCACATTCTTGTCCTTAAAACTCCAGATGCAGCTGGATGATGAGGATTCATTGCATCTACAACTTTTTTTCGCAAGTTGAAATTTAAATTTCTGATGAAATCATGTATCGGACCTTTTCTTACAGGTGATTGCAGCTGATTTGGTTTCAGTCAGAGTTTAACTACTGTATATCGGCAGGTTGCAAGAGAAAGAAAGCATTGTTACATCTGTCAGTTAATCACATCATATGGTGACATTTTGATGGTTTTAGTTTCTGTAGAGGTTTTCCTGCAGATGTCAGTCTGACATTTAAGAATCTAAAACACTAACGACAGCAAGTGTCCGCTTGGCATCAGATAGGTTAACCATCTGTCAGTTCAAAACATCCCACCCTCCCGCAACTCTGCCACAACATTCTCCACTGAGTTGTCTTTGTATGAACAGTTAAAAGTGAGTGCTACCTCGCCTTTCTCTCTCCCTGTAACTCTCCCTGCATCACGTACACAGATACATATAGGGGTGCTTTTATCATATCAAATCTAGCACACAATGGTGTCTGTGATGTATTTAAGGCACTTTGATAAGACACTGCAAAAAGAAGGAAAAACAGCCACACTCATTCACCATTAACCCAGCAGGTTTTGGTGAAAATGTCACACAATTTACACTCTTTCAGTCATGAAAGTCTTTGGGTTTACAAAAAACGTCCTTCCTGGCTTCAACACAAATGTAATCCAAGGCTGCTGCTCCGTTCATTGTGATATTTCAGTGCAAATTAGTTAAGGAGAGTCATCACTTGCATTATACTCATAAAAAAATGTTTGTTTGCTTGTTCACATTTGAATAGCATCCTCATGGCTTTTTGTTCTGTAATCGTGTCACAGTGAAGTTCGTGGATGTGATTTTATGGCTTTTACTGCACCACTTTTGACTTGGCAGAGCGAGACATCTAAACATGATTCTCTTGTGCCTCCATAATATCTGTTTCTGGCTATACTTTATATTTGAGTATACCAGAACTGCTTCCTCTCTATAGAAGTTAGACATGTGCTGCATGTCCTCTTGTTTAGTGGGAAACCCATTCATACATTTATGGACTCAACGTCAGTCTCTGTCCTTATGACTTGAAGAGTTTGGGGTAAAGAGCTTTAATTGGAGATGGGGTTGTGACAACGTTCCCAGAGGAAACGGTCGTCTCCACTCCCCCCTCTAACTTCTGGGATGCCACCTCAGTCTTACTGAAACTGCACTCCAGGAACGGCATCCCGATCTTCTTTACTTGGCCATCTCTGGTCATCAGACACGGCCGACAGAGCAACCTCAGAATGGCTCTCCTCATGTCTTTACTGGTGAGAGTGTAGATGATGGGGTTGAGGAGTGAGTTGACCATGGCTACTCCCAGGAAGTAATCTGCCTTGTAGAGCAGGCGGCAGCTGAGGGTTGGGCAGAAAAAGTCCAGGAGGAGTAGGAGGAAGAGGGGCAGCCAACAGGCGATGAAGACGCCCAGCACAATGGTGACTGTCTTGAGGAGGGCGATGTACTTCTGTGACTTCCTCGCTAAGCCTTTTCGCATGCTGCCCGACAGGCCCAGCCGCTGGCGCTGTGTGTTGGTGCGGACAATGCGGAAAACTCTGGCATAAAGGACCACGATGGCCAGTAGCACTGCACTGAACACAGAGACGCAGCAGAGGATGTAGCTCTTGGCATAAAGAGGGAGCACTGTTGAACACTGGTCCAGTCTGTGGATGCAGTTCCATCCCAGAATCGGTAGGACCCCCAAAAAGCCTGCCAGGGCCCAACTTGCACCAATCAGTGCCAACATCCGTCCCCGCTTTGCCCCGTGGTATGGCCTCATTGTCACCATAGTAACATGTCGTTCAATTGCAATGGCCAGCAGGCTAATGATAGAGGCAGCCAGAGTGATGAAGACCCCTCCCTCCCTGAGGAACCACAGCAATGGCGTCAGTTTCAAAGTATTAGGTCCGGACATGATAATGTTGGCCATGTAGGTAATCCCAGCCAGCAGGTCAGACAGAGTCAGGTTACCCAGCAAGTAATACATGGGCAGGTGGAACTTCTTGTTCCTCCAAATGGCGATGAGAACCACAGCGTTCTCCAGGACAATGAGGAGACATACCACCAGGAACGCAATGCCCTCAGGTTTGAGTCCCTCACGGTAGCGGTCTTTCTGCAGCTTGCCAGTGTGGTTGTAATGTTCCACAATGACAGAATTGTCCTGGTACTCCCAGAAGAAATGCAAGTACCCAGGAGAGGAAGGAGTAGGGTAGGTGGGGAATATGGGTGTAGAGGGTGAAGTCCCCACATGAGCAGAACTTGAAGCCTCCATGCTTTATATTGCTTTTCTTCTATTCTGACTGCAGTCAGTGGCTATAAAGTCATTTTTGTTGACATGCTTTTGGCAGTAGGAGCTGTGAAGAATTAGTCCAAGAACCAAAAAGATACAAAAAAGTCTGAGCTCCTTCAATAAAAGGAGGAATTACATGAAGCTGATAGAGTGTAATCCACCAAAATCCCTAGATGTTTTCCTTGTTGC